TTACCCTCCACCTCAGGAATTTTCAGCTTCCAAATAAAACTTATCAAAGAAACTGCTGCGAGTTATGATAAAATCCGTGAACATTATAACAACAGATTACGCTGATTTCTAATGAATCCTTCATCACTAACTGGAGATTTTTAGAAGGAAGGCGGTTAGCTCAGAAGCGATACTATTTCATGGCTTAAGCGTCACTCTTTTGTTTGTATGACGAACGATATTTTACTGCTTTGTTGGGTATATCAGTAGGATTAATCCTATGTTATTCACCAAAAGCTTACGTCCACTCTCACACAGAAGACTGACGACGGCTGATTGACTAGTCAGATTAGATTTAGCCCCGCTATAAAGAAGGTTCTCTTCTAACTCCATGAATTACCGCCTATCAGTGATATCAGTTTACAAAATCACGACTGTTTCATATAACTTATTCAGAAACTGTCAAATAACTAAAGCCAGAAATTAGTTCAAAGAAGAGATTTATGAAAATTTGATTGGCTTGAAGGCAGTTTTTGTTAAGGAATAATGGTATGCAAAAAAGCGTTGAAAACAAAATAGATTTCCTGGATGTTCCGAAGAAACTCAATGTTGTATGTGGTCCAAAATATCATGGGTAACGAAGATGTTCAGCGGTTATATTATGTGGTGGTAACGTGATATCATGAGCCGATAGGAATCAGAAAATATGGACCAGAGAACTGTAACTTAGTAGACAAACGTTTGTATGCTCACCATGAAACCAGTAGGTTCTGAAGTGGACTGGGTATATGATTAGTGATCCACACTACTGGGTGATAAATTTTCTACCTGGTTTCAATCCTTGCTAGAAGTTTTCTTCGAGATATACTGAAGGAATAAAAAATGTGCAACTTATTTTCATAGGTGAAATAGCTGAGCCTATGCAACCAAACTTCAACAACTCTCACCCACTCTTATATCATTGATGAACAGTGGCTAGCAGTGGGATACAGGACACGCGTTTCGTCGTATTTGGGATTCGTCAGCTGGTTTTCCCTTCCCCCCCCCCCAGTGAGCGATGTCGTTCTCAACGGGACTCGAACTCAGGACCGATCGCTCCAAATGTCACAGCATTACCTACTAGGCTACTGAGTCACGACAGCCACTCCTTGTGCGAAGAGTATAGTTTTTATACCGTGGCTTGCATTATCCACTTGGTTAAAGAATCAGTAATTCTCATTCCTTAAAAGTATAGTAATGTAATTAGTGTTAAATGTACTAATTTTGCGCTTCTTAAGAAGAAAGCATTAGAAGTGTCCCTGAATTGTTCGTTGTTCTTTTAGAGTAGACAAACAATGTACAAAACGGTAGGGTTTTATGCGTGCGACTATCACATGTGAACTTTTCTCGGCATTCAATGAAATCAACTGCCTGTACGAACAGACAAAGAACTGGAATCACTGTACATTTCCAACATCTATTAATTTTCCATCAAGATCCAATAAATTTAGGTGCATACAACACTTACCAAAGTTGTCTGCTATATTTACACATATAATGTTGGGTAGTTGAAAAGACGCATACTTTATAAACAAATCATCGCCTTGTCCCTCAGCGTCGTTATAAGTGGCAGCACCGTAGAGGCATTTAAACATTATCTAAATCAACTGAGTTAAAGTGGAATAAGTTGAGCTTTAATTTCAGTTTTCCTCATCTACTCACATCAATAGCACTGGTGATCAAGTTTCAAATACATTTAAGACAATGCCATGATAAAGTCTCTTCTTATGCAATACGTGTCTACTTATCAAAGTTATTCAGAAACAGAATGTGAATATCGTTTAACAGTTGTTCAAGATATGACCTGTCTGTTGTTTTATGCTTCCTTAGCATGAACTTCAAAGCTAGCGAATCTAATTCTATTAGCCAGTAAATAGAAACAACAATATGGAATAATTGCTCAATATCTCCTAATTTTCACCAGTACTTGTAATTTAAATGTCATCAAGACACAATAGAAGGTGACATCGAGACCTTAATACAACGAGATGATATATCAACAGAAATGATCAGTTTGATCATAGAGATCAAGGATATGAAATCTGAAGCTCAAATATAACATTATCACTTGTTAACATACCTTCAAATTACTTGTGAACTGACAAAAACCTATCCAAATAAATGTCGCGAAGTAAATTTAAAAAAGGCGGGTGGTAAAATGTAATGTCCACGACTACCTTTTTACCTGTAATATCAATAACCAATACAGTAATTCTTCATTTCTTTATCGAACAAGCAACTGGAGGTGTAATTTATTCAACGTAATAAATTTTATAAAATAGTACACTTTACAAACTGGCTTTTAAACTGTTATCATTTATTGTTTTTAAATTCATTTAATTTATTTACACTCGATCAACACATTACGGAATCAGTGTTTAACAATATTTTGTTGTCTATTTTTACACAATCTACTTTATTGTTTGCTTAAATGTAACATTATGAATGTCTAAGCATGTTTTAGTCAAGTAACCAGTAGAATTTCATTCTCCTAAAACCAATGCTTGACAACAAGCCTAATAAATTATCGATAGATTAAGTAATTTTATCCGAAAGTCAGAATTAATCAGATGAAAGGTGTGCTATGCATTACTTAATGTTCTGAGTAGTTAATTCCTGTCTATACTATGATTATGAAACCTAATTGTAACATGCTAACTGTGGATCCCTGGGCAGTTACTGAGTTTTGATCACTGGTATCTTCGTAATATTACTCGCATCTGGTAGAATTACTACGTAAGCAATGTTGAAGTCAGGCGAAGGGTACCAGACAAGACACGCTACTCTGTTGATTAAGTTGTGAATATCCATCGTTTGAGGCGGTTCGGACATGTGCTGCACATGCCGAGTCACCACCTACATCGACGTGCCATATTAGGGGAAGTTGAATTAGTTAATGATGGATCGTGGCTACCAGTGGAATCCAGGATGCTCATTTCGTCCTATTTAGGACTCGTCAGCTGGATGTACCTGCTTCTCAGTGAGTGGTGTTGTTCCCGGTGATGTAGTGAATAACGCACTGGCATTTGAAGCGATCGCTCTCGAGTCCGAATCCCTTTGAGAACAACATCACTTACTGGGAAGCAGGTACATCCAGCTGACGAGTCACAAATAGGACGAAATGTGCATCCTGGATTCCACTGCTAGCCACGATCCATCATTAACATAATTAGAACACTGGCAATATCGAAGCATCCGCACAGGAGCCCATATGCCAGTAGAGACCTATCTATTCGGTCCAATCAACGACGGTATGATATAAAAATAATTACACTAAGAAGTTGGATAAAATCGGAAGATGGTTCAGGGTTCCCAGATCAAGGCGTGGCACCAGTCGATGAATTCCCTCACTGTTGACCTGAGTCATATCGGAATATGAAGACTGTCGCCGAGACGATAGGAATCAGTGGTTGAGGACTCCTAGTGACATGGCTGGAAACCAACCACATTGGCGCAGGTGCATTTATTCCTTGACATCTTTCAAAGTTTGAATATTTACACTAACCTTCATCTTCAAATTGTTTGTTGTCTCACACAACTTTGTACCCATCTGTTCTGTGAAGTGTGGCAACTTGAACCGACGTACTTCTTTGTGAAGTTCTACGTCGATTCTGTCTGTCTGATCACTGTTGAGGGATCACGCACCAGGACGAAACAGCTGTCCAGTGCTTCCAGGTTATAAAAGGTTCTCCAGCTGATGTCAGTCCATCCTGAATACTAACTTGAAGAGGTGTTTATGTTGTATAGTTGAAAGATGAAATCATTTCTTTTGTGAAGTAAAAGGTCTGTGATATTTGAAGTTCACAATCTATAAATGAAATATATTTGTAAAATCCCGAAGTAAAAAAAATAAATCTCTGACGTTTCTCGATTTCGTGGAAACCGCTACTTCAGAGAATAAAGTCTGTACAAGTTATCGACTGTTCCAGCGAATTAAAATGTGTTAAATTTTAAGCAAAACAGTATACTTTGTTGTCCTAGGTTGTAGGCAGTTGACAAGATACCATCAAAGTAAACCCGATCCGTTTTATGCCACTCCAATTGTTGTTCTTGCTATATTCAAGTACATGCATTTAATCCCTCATATCATATGCCTCCTACATTTACGGGCTAAAATTGTACTAATATGGACTGCGTTTTTACTGCTTTGTTTTCCTTTATTATTGACTATACAAGTGTCAATATCGCAAATTCAGTAAATAAATTAGACAAATAAAGACTAGATTACCAGAAAACATTTCTCAACGCATAGTATTCATCAGAATTGAAAAATCGAAATATATTACAAAACAACATGAGTAGTTAGAAACCACCCACGCAGATTTGTAGATTTTACTGGCCGGATCAGAAATATATAAGCACCAGACAGCCCTTTCACTCATTTCCGGCTGGATCAGTTCATCAGCTGCACACCTGGACAAATTCAATTCGCTGGATCCGGTTAGTTGAATAAGATGGACTCATATACCAGTTGGTTTGAACAATTCTGCTATGTGGTCTCATTTTGTCTGAGTACGCCGCTAATGAGTTTTCTTGGTCTCAAACGAGAGAAACGGCAGTCCGGTGCTTAGATCACTCCGATCTGGCTAGTGAAGTCTACACAGTGTGAGTGGTTTATTACAAAGAATACTGTTAAGCAGTATGTTTCGAAAGTTCATGACACTTCTGCTAGAGACCACACTTTATGATCTCGACTGGGTGGTTTCCTATGAAGGAAATACTGACAACATAGATGGGCAGTTGAAAAATTATTCAGCTGTGAGAAATACCAATGCGCATAGTGCAATTTGTAAATCAGTTTGTTACCCTATGAATTGAAAACTGCTTAGATTCCTTTTCAGGTTTCTGAGTGACAGTAACTCACCAACCTTTTGAAACTGTCAGCACCCCGTAAACGAATTCAACTCTGTAAAACGCTGTTATTAGGATGCAGTAGGTAGCATTTTTATCGGCTTTCTAATGAAATGAAAAGCCTGAATTTTCAAACAAAGTATCGAGGATTCGGGATTAGCCCAAACAGAATATATTGATCGAAATTCACACATCATTATACTTTACAGCATACGTACAATAGACTTCAAGTTATTGTTAGCCGAAGTGGGATTGAATTGGAAGAAGGCTCAGGGTGGTCATACCATGACCTGGCACCAGTCCATGAAGTGTCTGAATGTTGATTTGAGCAGTGTCGGGAAGTGTAGACAATCTGGATGAGATCCGTAAGATGACATGAATCAGTGGTTGGAGATCCTTGGTGACACAGCTAAAAGTCCGTAAAAATGTTGTAGATATAGTGATTCTTTGAAGCCTTCCAAATTTTGAAGATTTCCTTCAACCTTCATTTTTTCGAATTCCTCCTGTCATTCACTATCGTCGATTATGATTTCGCTCTTTTTCTACCCACGTTCTTTGCATGCTACTGTGAAGTGTGGCATTTTTGCGTAAGGTTTGATACTGTAGTTGTCTATCTGTCAACCTGAGAATTGTAAATAACATCACAAATAATTATATGGGAACCATTAGAGGGATAGTTCATTCACATCATCCCCATTCATAACATAAAAAGGCATGATTGATCAACACAAACAAAGATAATCATTCTTGGTTGTACTGTGTTCTCTCAGCTGGGTTGTTTAATCGTAAAGCTTTCATCGTCTTTCTAGACGACATCATTAGCAATAGCTTCATTTATATTCAAATAAATAATTACTGACACAAAATGAGTGGATGAGCTTCAGTGTAGGTTTATGAGTGAAAATCATAGGCATTGCGTACTATGACTGATTCAAAATTCTTTAAAAAAAACCGTTAGTCACCTTTAATTGTGCAATCTTTACACAATAATTACTCTGATTATCTTCCGAAAAGGATTTAAAGTCATGTTTGCTTGACACTTTTATGCAGAGAAATAAATGAGCTATAATGTTTATATTTTATCCTAAGGCTTTTTAATCAATTCTAAGATTGAACAAAATGAGAAGCGAACAAGATAAATGTAGTACAAGATACTCAAAAGCTTCTAGTACTATTCACATAAGATGTATTAGTCTGCAAGACAAAGATGTGATCTACAGTTAAGTTTTGTTTTGAATTAGGATCAGTTGTTGGCCACTTAATACCGGTTCGCGGTGAATATTGCCTTCAAATCAAACGATTTCCCATAGACCACTGTGATAAAAGATACTAGTAATGAGCTTGTTACCATTGCGAAATTATTAGTGAATAGCATGATCATATTTATCTTACAAATATAAACTAGTATATCATGGTTTTAATGATGCAAACTAGTGATTCCGTTCATACTAAGTTTGTTCTTATGATTATCCCTCCGGTTTCAATAAAGTCTAGTATCGTAAAAACCAGCAAAAGAAACACTTAGTTAAATATTAAATGATGAAGTTATCCCGATTAAATAAGGCCCTTGTTTCTTTTTGTAATCTAAGCTGTAGTTACAACCAGCTAAAGTGAGTAAAAGTGGATGAAATATATGTCCCACATTATCCCTCTAGTTTCTACTTAATATGTCAAAAATCTGTGAAAATTTATTCAGTACCCATCAGCAATGGAAAACTATGAGTGCCAATAATATGATTTCTATGGTTTCGATAAGACATATATACAGTGACTCACGTTTTGACAGAATTCCCCAGGAGGAATAATTCGCAGTTGACGTAGGTAATTCACTATCATACATATGACCAAAAACTAAAAAGTAGGTACATTAATTTTGTCTATTCACTTTTACTACTAATTAGTCGTCTAAGTTGAATTTCGAAAATTCAAAATGCGGCAGAGTGGTAAAAATAGTGATCGAAAAGGCTGGGAAAAAAACTTTAATTAATCACGAACTCTTAACAATAAAATTACTTTTAGCAAAATGAAAAATATCTTCACTCTGAATAATTCAGTATTCTTATTTCTTCAAGTTCTGTTGAGTAATATGAAAGCGAAGCAAACGAGAAGGCTTTTAAAGAGGTTCGCTACTCAGTCAGCAAGTAATAATATCAATAAGGGGATTTCATATTTAATTCACACTATAGTTAAAATGATACTTAACATCTTGAAGCTAAAGCTGCAACGAATCAATCGTTGGTTGAACTGAAAAGGTCTTCGGTCTGTTTTTAAAATACCAATTCACTGTTGAATCCCAGCCGAAGAAAAACACAAGAGCAAATGCACATGACATTACTTGCTACAAAAATGAGACGAGTTATACAGAAGCTTGATTAGATAGCTATTCCTCTGCATCACAGACATACAAACTGTATAGGAGTTAGCCCACATCTGAGAAATTGAAGACAGATGATGCGTTGCAGATAGCGCGAAAGTTGTCATATGTTAGTCCACCATTTTTGTTTTTTCCTTAAATCCTATCATGTTGTGACCTGTCAACAAACTGGCATCAATTTTATTTTAATTGCAGTCATCCTTCCTAAAATAAGGTCCTATCTGTCAATCAATACTATTTCAAACAGTCTAGCTATCAGCGAGTTAGTGTCTACTCCTTTTTAATTTTCATTGGAACGAGATGCGACTTGAGAGAGGGTGTAGTAAAGGATAGTTATCGTTGGTTTCTCAACTCTCGGAATAAGCTATTAGTCACAACTGAAATTCTAAATGAGTCGGCAGTTTAGTCCTGTGAATGAGCAGAAAGCTAGAGGGATAAACTGAAGTCTACCGGCTCAAAAACCTTGCTAATACTCTGATTCTCATGCAGTTTGATAGTTCAATTTATGGATTTTTCAGAAAACAACCAAAGTACTTACAATAATCAGATAGGATGCTTGTAGTATTTGAGTCTGATAAATCAAGTCTCTACTAGAGCATAGAAAGTGAGACTAAATGACCTCTAAGCTTAAATCCGTCGCTCCCATACACTCATCCAAACAACTTTAAATTCATTCCTTTTTTTATATTAACCAACTCATCCAGTCAAACATTTCAACTAGACACACCATCTTGTAGCTTCGGAATTTAGCAAGCCGAATTACGTGATGTTTATTGGAAGGATTGCGATATCTCATGTAAAAGTTATTAAAATTAGTTCTACAAAAAATAAAATGCTGCAGTCACAGGTTAGCAACCATAAAAAAAGGACACATACTGTACTATCAGCCTTCAAACCACCTACTAGTAACAAACAGTTCAGAAATGGTTAGATAATGAAGTGAAAGTGGTTTAAAAAGCACCCAGCATAAAATAGTCGAGGAGGAACGACGAGAATTTCCGAGACCATTTCTTGCTTTTCACTAGTCAGTTAAGTACATTTAAAATGTCAAGGAAATTAACGTTCCCACTGACGATTTGAGTCCGAACCACTTCTCTCATCAGTCAGAGACATTTAAACCGACAGTACTACTTCCTTTTGGCGCTCTCAAACACTTCTTGAAATCATTTGACAACAACCATAATACTGGGTGATGATTGAAGGTGAAATGGAGACAAGGGTCATGGCAGCATTTGAACCAGTGACTATCGGATTTCCGGCCTGGCGCTCCACCAACTGAGCTACGAGACCGCATTGCTGACCAAACTTTTATTTCACACCAACCAACAAGGGTTTTGTCCGACTGCCATGTGAATTCGTGACGCTTGATCGTACTCCCATTGGCTGCCCAGTTAAGACTTCTCATCCCAATCTATATGATGCTCCCTTTTTTTAAGTCAAGTAGATTTTGATTAGAATGAGAAGTCGTGATTGGGCAGCCACTCTGTGTAAGATAACATGACAGTAACACATGGCGGTCGAGTAAAACTCTTGGTGATTGAAGTGAAATAAAAATCTGGTCAGTAGTCGAGCCTCGTAGCTCAGTTGGTATAGCACCGGGCCGAAAACCCGATGGTCACTGGTTCGAATGCTGCCCTTCAGTCATCACCCAGTATCACTACAAGTCTGCCAAACCATGGCTATCTCAGAGAGTCAGACTGACAACCGATAAGTACAATATCTAGACTTAAGTTTTCTACTGATCGCATCTCTGCTTAATATCAATTTGATGCTTAGTCACCTAATTTTGTGGCCATATAACGAAACCTGTCCCATAGAATTCAGTCAGCACCGAAGATTAGGAAGTATGACACTAAGTATGGGAAACAGTTTTCATCAAATGTTTCTGATGAAAAAACGCCGACATGACAGAAAAATAAGATACACCGTCGAAAACAAGAGATAAAGCCACTTCCTAAACCAAGTCAGTGAACAAGATGTTCCAAAGTCTTAAAAAATTTTTTTTATAACTACATCGTTCGACTGGAAGAATTTAACACTGGTATTCACTCGAATACAGTTACATCCGGCTGATGAGACTGGTCATAAAGTCTGCCAATTGTCTTCAACCAACTAACATTTACCAAAGTGCACCACGATGGTGAATCTCCTGGCTTAGTGCCCACCTTACAAAATAACCAGCAGAATTCAGTCAGCACTCAAGACTAAACAATATGAAATCAGTTACCCTCCAGTGACTAATCAATGAACCCCATCGTCTTAATAATAACTAATTTTACTTATAAACGGAAAAAGTGGTATAACTGTAGCCAGACAACAGTCAAATTTGAACGGTACAATATATAGCATTAATGAGTGGGTGAAAATAAAGCTTACTAATATTTCGATAAAACCAATAAGAGAAAATTTCACTAAAGTCTGTTTTGAAACAACTCAACTTCAAATATCATTATCTATTACTAGCCAATTTCTCATTGTATCAAATCGGTACAAGTTAACAAGGACTGGAAAAATATCACCAGGTGACCTGATAAAGACCTCTATTAAGGTTTAATGTCTACTTTTTCCAAAAAAGAATAGTTACATACATGAATAGCAAAAAGAGACAATGATTTGCCACCTGGCTACATTTTAAAATTAAAAAGTAATCAAGGCGTTAATCCCAGCGTAAGGAGCTCACTGATTGTATACTCTGTTTAAATTAAGACCATACTTTTAATTTACTGCGTCGAATACCAAGTGTCTGAAAGATTAAGTTCAACAATATAAGTGTAAAACTTGGGCACTAAAATGGAATTGAGTTCAACAATATTTATAAGAACACAAAGTGTTTAAGAGTCAGTGGGTCTAATTAAGACTATCCCCTATCCGCAGCAAATACGAACGAAAAGAAATGCACTCAACTACCTTATGCACGTCCGTGCAGTGAGCCATGCCTATTGTATGAAGGTTAGTGATACTACCTGACTGCGAAACTTTGGTAGGCGGAACGGGGCTCGAACCCGCGACCTAGTAGTGGGCGGTCATCTCTTTAAACCACTGGGCTACAGCTCATATCTACAGCAGGTAACCGATTAGTTACTGCAACAAATAACTAATTCCGCGTACGCGCCGATTAAAGAACATTAATCAATATGATGTTTAGGTTCCAAGATATGCATACAAGTCATTGATGAGTTCTCTGTACTACACTACATATTCCACAGCCCTTATCAAACAGTTTGTAACAACACATCCAATTGAGGTGAAGTGACTCAGGTTCAGATCTCCAAAACTGCAGCCCCTTATAAATGGAGGTTATAAGACCCAGGTGCACCGCTCCTTACCTCCAACCATCCGAAACTAGTTCTAGAGACTAAATGAATTCTCCTAATTACGTTTTCCGATTTTTCCATAAAGGGAAATGAAAAGATTACAATGCAAGGTGTGTTTGAAGCTGGTCAAAAGGAAACTCCGATTTTGCGCTTGTCGTCACTCATGGACAACATACATCCGAAGTCTCAAGGTACACCACACAAACTCTTGAAGATTCGAACCTGCATCATTCAACAACGTAGTTGGAGACACTGGTGCTGATCAAACAGACAAATCAACGTAGAGCCTTGCACACAAGTACATAGGCTCAAGTTGTCACACTTCACAGTAGTATACAAGGACAAGTCGACAGAACAAGAGTGATATCAAAATGGACGAACTTGTGTGAGAGAATAAACAATTTGAAGATAGATATTAGTGCAAATATTCAAGCTTTAAAAGATGTCAAGGAGTGGATACACCTGTGCCATTGTGACTGATTTCAAGCCATGTCACCAAGAATCTCCGGGACCCCGACCAGGTAGTCTGTATCTCCCAACATGACTCAGACTAACAGTCACGTTTCATCGACTGGGGCCAGGTCTTGGTCTGGACACCCCGAACCCTCTTCCTACTTCCCCTTGCATCCAACATCAAGAAAGCCGGTGACTTAGCATGCGGAACACATATTCAAGGCATCTAAGTTGAATGAGGTTCACAACCTCAACAGTCGACTTGCCTGTCTTGTCTGGTACCCTTCGCCTGACTTCAACATCGCTCATACGGTGATTCCACCAAACGCGGGCAATTCTACGAAGACATCTGTGATCAAAACCCTGTAATCCCTTCATGTCTTTTACTTTTAATGTTCATGTCTCACGCCATATTACAGACTTTATTCCGATTGTATCTGAACAGCTGACTCAAAATGAAACCTGTAAGTTACTTCAGAAGAGAATAAAGAAGGAAAAACTGAAGTACTAGACCTTGTGAACATATTGCATCCTTGACTTTACATTTCATTTATCAACTTCATGACGACGTTTATGAAATCATTAAAAATAAACTACAACGATAACAGAAGATTAAACTAAAGAAACAATATAAGACTTAACATAAATCGATAAGACAAACGAACGTCAGCTAAAATCCCCAAAATAATGAATACACTTCATCCCAAAAAAAATTTAGGCGCCTGATTGTTTGTACAAGAAGTAGAAGATAGAAAAAAGAAACAAAACAGAAAGAAATAATCACAGAATATAGGGAAACAAGTACCATACACAGTATGCAAACGTGATAAGTATTATTGTGTTACATATGGATTCAATGTAGGAAGGTAATAAATGCACACAGGGCTATTTGACAGCAACATGGAGCGTATTTGTTATAGGGCTCTATAGAATTTTAAAAATATTAATAGTAATAACGATAATAGTAGTTAGTATATTACAAAAGGCAACTTAAAAAGAAGTATAAAAAGCATAGAATACAAGAAAAGACAACTGGAATTTTGAACTAGCTAACTGCTGGCGAATGAATACTTTCAGATGACTTCTTCTCACCATTATTAGTGTGTACAACATTGAGAACATTTAACCTGGGGACTTGCCCAGTAGATGTGCACGACTCTTGTGGCTGCTCCTGCTTCTGCTGAAGAGGACTGATCACACTTGACTCATTATTTTCAAGCACTGCATTTGTATCATCACGTTGTGAGTGGTCATAATAATTTTTTAAACGCGTATGCCATGCAATGCTGGTCACAGCTGAAACAGACTTGAATTGATGTACAACATTCCGTGGGATGAAATAGATATCATTATCACGAAGAGGTAGACGAACATAACGAAAACCTTCAGAATGTAGTTGATTGAGTTCACCGTCATCCGCCCAAAATGAACCACACTTTTAAGAATAAAAAATAAACACTCACGTACACACTATGCCTAACATTATTGGAAGAACTATAGAATGAAAAAAATTACGGTAAATCAGATAGCATCATACAGTTTATTTCATCCAATTTTAAAGGTTCCCAGCAGAACTCATACAAAAAGTTTCTTCAGATTGTACCATTTTCAGCCAGAATTATTCTGGGATAAAATTTCAATAATTATTAGAGACCTATAAACATGTTGCTCGTCGGCTCAAACATCTACCTACAAATGATGGGTCACAAGTTCAAATCCAGCTCCATCTATTTCGATCTGGATAACCGAAAATTATGGTACATGTTCACACAATGAGTGTGGTTCACAGCCTTGTATATTAACCTGTACTAAGTTCAGTTACATTATTTGAACTCCATAAGGATTATTTCCGTGATTATTTGGATAGTATGCACACTCCTAACAGTTGACTCGTATGGCAGATACTACCAACCCCAACACTCCAAAGGAAATGCAAAGCGAGAAAGAAAACTAGTCTCAATGAGAAATTTTACTGACAATAGCCCGAAACACGCATGTGTATACACATGAAATGTGACCTTGTTCAGAATTATATATATATATATATATATATATATATATATATATATATATATATATATATATATATATATATGGCAACTTGAACTGCTACGCAATAATGCTAGGTCCTATGTTGATATTGCTTGTCCCTGTATATATGAATTAGTCTGTTGGACAAGACTATCTCATATATTCTGATCAATGATCAGTTAATAAACATCCTCCACCTAGTTAAATTTAGTCAGATTTGGATTAAGACGGAATGTGGCTGCATATTGCAGCTGAGTATTGTGATAAGGAAGAAACACCTCCACAGATGCGGAGAAACCGAGACTTAGTTAGCAACCAGTTGGATCTCGTAACCCATTCGGTAGATCATCAAATCGGTAATCCAAAGACAGTAATAATCATGTCACAACCTAGACTCTTTCAATCTTAATTATCGCTGTGTACGAAAAATGAGTTTATGAATTAAAATATGAGAAAAAACAAACCTGACTTGTTGGCGGTTCCATTATATCCAGTTTTAACCGTTCAATCAAATCAACATAGTGACGTGGATCAAACACAACCACATCTTTGACTATTCTGGCAGGTTGATTTAACTTGTAAGCATACGGATTTGTGGCAGAATTTGAATCATGTTTGGAATCTTCAGAAGGAGAAGAGCAAGATGAAGAGTGAGATAATTCATGTTCTCTACCATGTCGAAGAGGATATACTGCCTTGAGCAATCCAACAGCCGCTGTAGCATGACGTGCAAGTCCATCATCTGCATGGTCGGCATGACAAGGAGTCCTGTCGTGGATTGCTATTTGACGTCCACCGAGAGTGCGGCGGCCGATAACCAAATCTGTAATACCACAACCATCAACAACCCTAACAAAAAAACGGAAAGACACATTAATATGGAAAACCATGTGAAATAATTATGGATTCAAGCAGATAAGAATGATGAATTGTTTTCAAAAGGCTTAAGATTACACAATTTTTATATGACCACTCAACAACGTTTCACTAAAAAAAAAAAAAAGAATACTGAAGAAAGATGGATCTACTAAATGAAACTATGTTATTGAATGTAGTACGTATGATGCGGCCTCTGACCGTCCACATTACACTCTCATTTATATACCAACTGTCGTGTGACGTGAAAGTAACTCAGACACAAAATAACCTGGGAGAAGCATTTAGTAATAGTTCTGCCACTATTAATTACTGTTACGATCCAACGCTATCGATAACGACACAACTCTCCAAGACAATACGATCAAGGACAGAACAATGACTTCTCAACTACATCTTCAGCTGACACCAGAAGACGATGGGATTGGAAGCTTATTCATTCCAACCGAAGAATCATAAGTGAAAACTCAGTTGTTTATATACCCTTAGATGGCCTTAGCCAGAGGAAACAAAATAGCATATTCAAAGTGCAAAATGGGCCAATCAGTGTTTAGTATAGTAAACTGTGACTAAAATATATTGTCACCCAGACAACAACCACAAGCACACTGAGTTTTGAAGTGACTATCATGATGTCTCCAAGAACATCGAAGGCTCTCATGCAGTAGGATTCAATCTCCTCCAGGATCAAGACTATGACAGCAAGATTCAACTCAAAAGGAAGCAAAGTCACAATCGTACAATGCTACACCACGCACCTACAAATAATGCAGACGAAGAGAATTCTACAGAGGAATTCTATAGACAACTGCAATCAGTGATGAACAAGACCTCAGTTGGCGACATCGAAATTCTAATGGTTATGGTGACATGAATGCCAAACTGCGTGGAGCAGACAACACCGAAGGAGAACTCATCATGGGTCGAGGAGCACTCGGTGAAATGATGAGTGGGAATGGAGAACTGTTTTGCAGAATTTTGTGCAGTCAACAATTCGGCAATTGGAAGCAGTGTGTTCAAACACAAGGATATTCACAAAGTGACATGGACTTCACCAGATGGACACACTACACTCAAAATCAGATCGACTTCATCTCAATCTGAAGAAAGTGGAGACACAGCCTACTTGACACATGATCAAGAAGAGGAGCAGATGCAAGCAGGTTCAGACCATTCACTATCTAGTGCAAGGAACCTACAGTCAAAATCAAGTCGAAAGCCTTCAAGGAAGCTGGTGATAGACGACCACAGTTCAAGTCCAACACCCAGAACAGGAACTGGAGGACAAAACTACAAAAGACATCTCCACCTCAGTCATCAGGATAAAATGGGAGACATTGAGCAACATCCCCAAGGAAACCTGTGTGGAAGAACACTAGAACTCTGTGAAAACGACGTGGAAGGAAACCCGCATAACCGTGTTAGGAAGGAAGAGGAAGCAAGACAAGGAATGGATCTTGACGGACACATGGGAGCTGATAGAGCAGGGAGAGGAAGATGGTGAAGCAGAAGATGAACCAGTGTGGTGCAGGGATGAACAACGGAGAGAGGAACTGAACACAACCTATGAAACACTACACTGGACAAAGAAGTGAAGAAGAGTGCATGCAAAGACAAAAGACACTTCTACAACACACATTGGCAAGTGAAGCAGAACAGGCTGCAGGTAAGAGAGACCTGACAACACTGTATCAAGTAACCAGGTTACTATCTGGGGGGGAAGAGATCAACGCAGATGAAGCCAATGAGAGATAGTGAAGGAAAGCAAGTTACCAAAGAGCAGAAACAAAAGAAACGACGGTTTGACCACTTCAACAAACTTTGAATCGACCACCATCACCGGCAACTCGTCCAGAAATACCACTAGCAACGGCAGAACTACAAGTGAACACAAGCCCCCGAAGAAAGCAGCCCTGAATGCCATAAAACTGCTGAAATCCAGGAAAGCAGAAGGACCAGATGGAATTCCTCCAGAAGCGCTGAAAACAGATAGAGACATCAACGGACACACTCACATCTCTAGTGTAGAAGGATTGGAGGAAAGGAAGGAAAGGTACCTGCCGATCGATTGGAAGAAGGGCTACCTTGTCAAACTTCCAAAGAAAGGAGACCTAGGCCTTTGCAAGAACTGATGCAGAATCATGCTACTGTCCACCCCAAGAAAAATATCAAGCCACATCATTCTGGACAGACTCAATGCTATGGATTCAAAATTATGACCGGAACAGGCTGGATGCAGGAAGAACAAATCATGTGCGGATCAAATTGCAACGCTACACTACACATCATCATAGAACAGAGTAAAGAATGGCAGTCAACTCTTAACCTTAACTTCATCGATTTTGAAAAGGCCTTCAACAGCATCGACCGAGAAGTAATTTACCAGGCAGTTGCTTCAACACTACGGAGTGCCACTAATCTTTACCAACCTCATTCAACAATTACATGAAGACGCCATATGCCAAGTAATTCACAATGGGAAGCTCAGTGATGCCTTTGAAGTGAAGAAAGCAGTAAAAGAAGGCTGTCTACTATCACCCATGATCTTCCTGATTGTGGTCGACTGGATCATGCAGCAGATAACTGTGAGGAGCGAGAAGATGGGCATACGCTGGACCGCGGGAGAGACCCTAAAAGATTTGGATTTCGCCAACGATGATGATTTATGCCTAATGTCATGTCGCACAAACTCGAAGATCCACAGGCGAAAACTAACAAGTTGACAGAAGAGCCGGGCAGTGAAAACGGGACTTCAAGTGAATGTAGAGAAGACGGAGGTGATGAAGATACCCAACCAACAACAGCATCAACAACAAGCACCAATCACCAACAACGGGAGAAACTTAAAGGAAGTAGTCTCTTCCACCTACCTAGGCAAGGCAGCATCGTTTCAACTACAGGCAGCACAGGCACAGACGAGGACGTCAAAGCCAGGATCGGAAAAGCAAGACAGGCTTTCATTAATCTGAAATCAGTGTGGAGATCTACTGCACTCACCATAAGGCGTGAACAAGATCCGGATTTTCAACACCATCGTCAAGTCAGTGCTGCTATATGGTTCAAAAACTTAGCGAGTCACGAAAAGCACTTCCAACAAACTACAGACATTCATCAACAGCTGCCTACGTTCGATACTGAAGATGAAATGGCCAGAAAGAATAAGCAACAAGGAACTCTGGGAACGAACCAACCAAGCCCTCGAGTGGAACCCGAAGGGGAAACGATGAGTTGGGTATCCGAGGGTGACATGGAGGAGATCATGTGAGGAGGAAATGAAAGCTTGTGGGCAGTCATGGAGCCAGGTTGAAAAGATTAGAGAGGAGAGAGTGCAATGGAGGAGTGCTACTGAAGCCCTGTGTTCCACTAGGAACCCAAGGGAAAAAAATAATAGTAATAATAATAGCATGGCGCAAAAAGGTCGCGAAATAGGGCCTAGACTTTACAATGATAATATAAACATATTATAAGTTATTTTTCTTAGGGAGTAGCCATCCCTAACAATTACCACAGGTGTCAGCTGCTCTTAGTAAAGACTACTTGCTAACAAAGACCCTGAAGTATGTATAATCTTAGGGGCTGTTTCGAAACTTCTTCAGAATTATTTGCACTCACTCTACTGTTACGTTTTTTTGATTGCTAAACGATTTTCATCCTGCTATCACCTCCATTTCTCCCTTGATGCGCAGCTAATCCATCTACAATGCCCAAAAGAACCATTCGTTTTTAAGAGACACTGTAAATTCCATTTTAATCCGTTTTTTAGATATGTCACAGTGAAAGATTACCAGTTACTGGATAACGTTTCGGACATATTTACATCAAATGACATGATATGAATATGGACAACAAATTATGTCCGAAACATTATCATCAATATCAACATAGGACCAGGCATTACTGAGTAACGGTTCGAGTTACCACACCTTATATCAGTACATCAAGAAAAAAGGCAATAAAATGCAAGATGAAGATAAGAAAATTCAGTCAAAAAAATACAAAGTACGAAAAGAGAGAAAGGAAGAATGAGAAAGTGGTGAGATTCGGTACACCGTCGTTAAGATGAGGATAATGTATGTATACATCTGCGCCACTGACATCGGTTCTCAGCCATATCATATAGAGTCTCCAACCACCGGTTTCTCTTGTCCCGCCGACCCCAACCGGTTAGCCTACATCACCACACACGGCTCACACCAAAAGTCACACACTTCATACATTGGTGCCATGTTTTAGTCTGGCCACTTCGGACCTTTTCCAGCCTGGACCTACTTCAGCCAACATTATGTGACGAGGCAATCGGCGACTAGGCATACGTAACACATGTCCCAACCAGCCATCTCAGTCCATCAAGGTTCACAATCTCGTCAGCCGACCTACCTCAACTCCCTAAAACTCTACACCTAACTTCTGCATTACTCACATGGTGACACCACGGAATACAGTGGTCTATACTACGAAGGCAACGATGTCAGACACCTGAAGCCTTCTCATGTCTTCCACCTTCAATCGCCATGTTTCACAGCCATACAGTAGAACAAACCAGACTGCTGTGCAGTATACGCAAACCTTAGTAGACAATCGGATATCACAGCGGCGTCACAGGTGGCGTAAGTTGGCGAAACCCAATTGAGCCTTTTGTATCCATGCAGAGATTTTATCGTCCACTGAACCACCAGAGCTGATCCTACTTCCTAGGCAAGTGAAGTGGTCAACGCACTCAACCATTACACTCTCTATTGTTAGCAGTGGTGGGGCACCGTTGAAGACCAATCCTGCAGCAGCAATTTGCATTTGGGTGGTGAGAAACGCATCCCAAACATTCTCAAATTCTCACTCAAAGAGTTCAGAAGACTCTGCATCTTCACTCATCAGGACTATGTCATCTGCATATTCTAGGTCTAACAACAATTCTCTTGTGATTAGGTCAACCCCTGTTTAGTCAGATGACGCGAGAGGGTAACCTCCATAAGAATATCGATGATCAAATTGAATAAGAATGGAGAGAGTGGGCACCCTTGACGGACATCACTTGATGAGCATAGCTCCGTGGACAACTAACCATAGGCTGCAACAAGCCCACAAGTGTTCGAGTAGAGAGCCTTCAATGTACTTACTCGGCACGCCTTCCAGTGAGAGACATTGCCATAAGACTTTTCGATCAACGGAGTCGAATGCTGCCTTCAGATCAAGAAATACAGTTACTGTCGGGCGTCGGTAAGCGTGTCTATGTTCCAGGACCTGGCTCAATGTGAATATATGGTCGACACATCCGCGGCCAGGTTTAAAACCTGCCTAGTTTTCTCGGGCTTGCTGTTCTCGAGCTCTACTCAGATGTCCGAGAATTATAGAACCTAGGATCTTGGACACTATGCTCGTCAGGCTGATTCCTCTGTGGTTATCACAAGAGGACTTCTCGCCTTTCTTAAAGACGGGAATAATCAGTGACTTATAAACAGTCAGAGGGGATCGTATTTGACTCTCATATACTATCTAACACTTCCGTTAACCTGACTAAGAACACCTTACCACCATCCTTGTATACCTCAGCAGGTAGTCCGTCTGATCCTGCTGCCTTCCTCATTTCAGGTTACCTACCGCTTTCTCAACTTCTCCTAGTATTGAGGGCGCCTATCTCTATGTCCCATTCAGGATCCGACTGGATAGCGGGCAACGCATTGGTGGCTGGAGGCCAGTTAAACTGTTCCTCGAAGTGTTCTACCCATCGTTCCAGTGAGTGAGTCGCAGATCCGTCCTTCTCCATTGTTCTTGATTTTTCTCCTCCAGTTTCCTTAATAAGTCTAAATAACTGTCTACTGTTACCAATCGCTGCCACCTTTTCCTTAGCTGCCCACTACTGTTGGTGGTCGTTGCCGAAGACTTTTTCTTAGTCTACTTTTAAGTTGCCCTCGCTCTTCATTGTACTCAGAGCCTGCAGGGATGAGTTCACGTGCATCCATTAGTTCGCAAGAAGCTGCTGATATCCACTGGCTCTTTTTAGCCACTATTTCGGAGTCGGTTACAGTCTTCAACGCTGCTTTCACAGCAGATTGAAGATGGCACCAAGGTTCTTCTGGATGGGTGACAGTCTTTTGTTCCGATAACTGCCCAGCCAACCGCTCACTGAAAACGGCTTTGGTGTCTCCGTTGTCCAGCAGCACCTGTAGTGCTTGTGTAGCCAAATGTTTCTTCCATCCATTGAGACTCAGGCATATACGCGTTCACAACAATGCGTGGTTGCTATCCAAACACGTACTCCAGAAGGACCGACAGTCTTCCACTGATCCTCTCCAGCTATGACTAATAGCAACGTGGTCTATCTGTGTCCATCACTGAGTTGAGCTCGGTGGACGCCACGTCAGACAGTGTCTTTTCTTATGTCTGAAATTTGTGCGAGATAAAAATAGGCGCTTATCTGAGCACAGTTGTAGTAGGCGATCACCGTTATCTGTTCGTTCAGTCAAAACTCCTAAAGTGCCACCTAAGTGCCTTTCTGTCTCACTCAGTCTACCCACCTGTGCACTGAAGTCACTTGCAACAACCATGACGTCCAAACGTTTGGCTTTCGAGAGTAGGCTAGACAGTTTACAGTAGAACTCGTCCTTCACTTCATCCGAACTACAGTCAATGGGTGTGTAAGCAGAGATTACAGAGACAACGCCGAGTTTCACTATTCCTTTTAGTTCTCACTGTGGCGTTCAGTCGGATAGCGCAGAGGTGACTTTCAACTGGGATCCAGTCTAGTGGTGAGTTTCCAGCCCTAGTGCTTGATGTTGTGCCTACATCTGCAAGAACACGAGAGCTATCGAATCTCAGGAAACTCGAAGGGTGAATTTTGTGGACTCACCGGGTTGGCAGGGAGAGGTCAGGTAAATAACTTCACTTGGGTACTGTATACGTGTCTCACAGACACAGCACACATCCGTGGTCCGAGTTTCTAGAGTCTTTACCAACGAAGACTGTTGACCAATTTCACGGAGGGTGTGGACATTGAAGGCACCAATATTTAATTAGCAGTATGGTTTAAGCAGAATACGCATGTTGTTCCATGTACTAAGATCATTGTCCAAGGCTGCACAGCTAACAGAAATTCAAGATGATGTAGCATCGTCAATTTACATATGTGAACCAATATTACAACGTAAACATGGGGAGGTGGACAGCACCTTCAGGAAACTTGAGTGCTCATCGAGTTGTGAAGACGGTTGACACTTCCCGGCTGCCCACACCGTGGAAGGCTATTTCTTCTCAAGGTACCTGAAAGAGATTTGCGTTACCACAGAGCCAATCGGACATCTGCTTGAGGCCTGGGTCATTGTGATATGTAAGCCCGACCACCACGTCAAAGTAACAGCTATCGGTCGACATTGCTACACAAGGCACCAGTGAAAATCAGTCATGGAGTAAGCATTTGCATTTGGTTTGTGAGAAACATATCCCAAACAGTCTCAAGTTGACATTCAAGGTATACAGGGGACAGCAACACAAATCATTTGATACTTTATTGCAGACTGTAACGGTAATGGGTGTTCAAACACAGAGTATTCAATAGAGTGATAAACTAACGCAGCATCTCTTTCATTCAGAGGCTGCCGTGGGACCCCTCCATCGATGGAGTTGAATATCGCCTCCAGGTCACGAAATGCAACTGGTATCGCATGCTGGTGAATGTGCCGGAATTCTAGCACCTAGTGGAAAGTGAATATCTCGCCGACAGCCGCTACCTTGGCGTAGTAGTCGGGTTCGCATATCACAATGACTCAACGAGCTACACCGTCTGGAACGCTTGTTCCGTACTGTACCAGAAAGGTCTGTTGGATAGTGGTAAGATGAAAAGCAGTTACCATTGTAGTTTACATTACTACACTAGAATGGAGGTCCAAGAGCGAAGTGGTACTACTGGCTGGATAGGGTGTGATGACACTAGGGTGTTTCCCTTGGATGACCAGGAGTGCCACGCTGGTACTGCCTTCCTTATTGGAAGGGGTGGTTACAAAAGGTTGGCCCCCAAAATAACAGACTCCTAACTCCCCCCACCCCACGGTCTTCCTGTAACCTCAACCATGGATTCATAATAGATTCGAAACTATTATTATCATTATTTGTTCCTTACGTTCCTAATTGAACATAAGGCTTCAGTAGCACGCCTCCATTTCACTCCCTTCTCTCCAGTCTTTTGACCCTGGCTCCATGACTGCCCACAAGCTTTCATTTCCTCCTCACATGATCTCCCCCATGTCACCCTCGGATACTCAACTCATCGTTTCCCCTTCGGGTTCCGCTCGAGGGCTGGTCTGGCGCATGATATCCCCAATCGGTCTTCTCAGTGTATGTCCAATTCAATTCATCTCAACTTTCTTCTACATATTTGTTGGGCGATGGGTTCTTGGTTGGTTCGTTCCCAGAGTTCCTTGTTGCTTATTCTTTCTGGCCATTTCATCTTCAGTATCGAACGTAGGCAGCTGTTGATGAATGTCTGTAGTTTGTTGGAAACGCTCTTCATAACGCGCCAAGTTTCTGAACCATCACATGGAAGCACTGACTTGGTTGACTCAGTGTTGAAAATCCGGATCTTGATCAGGTATAACTTACCCTACTTATATTTTTCTCCTCTTTCGACTTCACTCCCTGATACCAAGATTACAACTTCTACAACTTCCTCAGTCTCACTCTGTATCCACTGCCAACTATCCAAGCCATCAAAACATCTCTATTCCCCTAAGACCACACTGTCGTTCTCACGTTGGATCTTGAGACTTCCTACACCTATGGATAATCGGACAGCAGGCATCTGCTAGAACCCTAGAATTTTCAGCCATGGACGTGTTCAGCGTCTCCGAAACACGTATACAATAACCGAGTGTGATTGTTAAACTGACCTCATCTGACCACAATAGTGAATCTTCAAAATTCACCTTAAGTGTCCGGAACCCCAATGGCTAGCTCTACTCCTTTTGCGAGTGTAGACATAGAGAACCTACTTCTTGACTGATACCAGTCAGCAGCCATCTTTATGCTGTTCGACTGAATGGATCTGTAAAAACTACGAAGGATTGTGAGACTAACCAATACTTATTCGTAATCTCCACCGATGCACCCCTAACCAATTCGGATGATGCAAATGAATTCAATGAAAAGCTGTCAATTTTACTACATAAAGCAAACGTTCAGCTAGAGTCATGGTAGTAGAGGACTTCAATGCTCAAGTAACAAAGCCGAGTCAATCGGAAAGGCATCATGGAGGTATCTACAGAATCTTATGCCAACAAACTGGCAACGGTGACCGTGTGTTGCAATTTTGTTCTGCCAATCGCTTATTTCCGGCCAGCACTAACTTTGAGCTATTTCAAATGGCGTCCGCCGACATTAAACCAACTATGGACACAGATAATCATACTGCTGAGCCATCGTCAGAGAGGATCGGCGGAGGATTACAACCTTTTCTAGAGTACCTGTTTGGACTCCAATCAGGCGTTGGTACGGGCTCGTTTACATCTGCAGAAGACCAGCAGCATTGAAGCCTTTCTATAGTCGACTGGAAGATGAGGACGCCAAGTATGTATTTTGGGATGAGTTAGCTAATCATTTGTCTGAACGTGACAGGAATGCTTATCCTGAGGAAACCAGACGTAACATTAAGTCCGCTGTAGAAACGATGGTAGAGACAGTTGGTAACTTACACCCGAAGGTTAACAAACGTCACTGGATTTTCGCAACGTCATCCGAACTGATAGATGCGAGAAGACTGATTCCAGCTGGCTCTGACCACAGTGAAAAGCGAAAGCAACTGAAACGTAGATTGATCAAGTCTTCTCAATGATGGCGAGTAGTAGTGGGTGGCGAGAGCGGGAGAGATAGAGAAGGCATCAGCGTTGGGTAACACCCGGTAACTAGTTAGGATAGTTAAGGATACAGCCAAGAAGACGATGGTTAGTGCAACCATCATCGAAGAAAAAAGGAGACACTGACAACCTCTCAAAATAGGCGACTGGAACGTTGGGTGGAACACTAAAGCACAGTTCACCTGGCCCTCAGTAACGCTTCAGTTGCCCAACATCCAGCCTGAACCTGAATCGGATGTAGATGTCGGTCTTCTAACTCTCCTTGAAGTTGGGAAGGTTGTTTCGAACTTGAACGATGCAAAGCATCAGGAACTGACGGATTACCACCCATATTTTTAGACATGAAGGTGGCATTTGACTCAGTCAAACGTGAGGTGTTGTGGCTGTTAACGTTCGTGTTCAACTTCGTTATGGGCGTACTAATTGACATAAGTTTAGGTACGTCTGACTTCACAGGGGCTGACCTAATCCCTGGATGTCATCTGGTTGACTTACAGTATGCAGACGATATTGTCTTGCTAGGTGAAGATGCTGACAAAATGCAGGGTCTTCTGGACGCGTTGAGCGGAAATCCGAGTATGTTTGGGATGCGTTTCGTTACGCACCTATCAACTGTGAAAGGATACTCTACAATTTGTCTGCAACCGCTCCCCGTTTAATGATAGGGAGTGGAAGGGTTAGATATGTCGACTACTTCACTTACTTGAGGAGTTACATCAGCTCGAACTGACTGGTCGCTCACAAAATCTCAACTCGGATACAGAAAGCCCGTTTGGCACTTGCCAACTCGCATCACCTGTAGCGCTGACTGGTGAGATATCCCACTATCTATCAAAGGACAAATAAATTACGATCCAGTCCGTTCTGTCCTGCCGTACGGCTGTGAGAAATGGCTGTTAACAGTAGACGACATGAAGCGGTTACCGATTTTTGATCACGAGTATTTTCGTAGCGTTGCTCGCGTTTGGTGGGATCACCGTGTGAGCTATGTTGACGGCAGGCGAAGGATACCAGACAAGATACGCTACTCTATTGATGAAGTTGTCAACATCCATCGTTTGAGACGGCTCGGACATGTGCTGCATATGCCGAGTCACCGCTTACCTTGACGTACCATATTAGGGGAAGTTGAATTAGGTTGGAAGGTGGTTCAGGGATCTCAGATCAAAGCGTGGCACCAGTCGATGAACTCCCTCACTGTTGACCTGAGTCGTGTGAGAATATGTAGACTGTCCCCGAAACGATAGGAAACAGTGGTGGAGGATTCTTGGTGACTTGGTTGGAAATCGACCACATTGGCGCAGGTGTATTCACTCCTTGACATCTTTTATAGCTTGAATATTTGCATTAATCGTTGTCCTCAATTCGTTCACTCTCTCACACAACTTTGTCTACTTTGATGTAAATTCTTCTCTATCCACCTGTTCTCTGAATGCCACTTTGAAGTGTGGCAACTTGAACCAATGCATGTGTGTTCAGGGTTTTACGTCGGTTTTGTCAAGAAAGCCCAAAGTGTATATCTAATAAGAATAAATACATAGACATGGTTAGTAACTCACCAAGTGACATAATACGGTTAAACCCGAGATCAAATGGCGTAAAACCTTTAAAAAACAACAGGAACATGGGTCTTGCAATTAGAAGTAAAGACCAAGTTAGGACTAATAAGTCAGCAGAAGCAGCCCTAGGCAAATAAGCACGCACAAAATAAAAAGATAAGTACCTACCGTCTCTTTCTACGCATAGAAGTTGAAAACAATGGAATAGTCTGTTCTCCATGACGAGCCCAAAGTATAGGCCCATCATTACTTTCTCTGGGATCCATACCACTTAAACTGGACAAAGCACCCCACGGTGTTACAAGCTTTAAAAAGGGATCCCGTTCAATCATCTCAAGAAGAATTTTATCAAAAAAGCCATGCTCTTCACCCTTGACACCAACAATACTTAATGCATGCAGCGGCCCAAAACGATAAATTCCATTTGCATAAGTTTTGTGAACATTTTTTACGTACTGTGCAAGTGTCAGGGTTTCAGTAGCATTCTTCTGTTCAAGCGGATTTGTTGAAACGTTGAGATTGGGATAAACAGAAGACAAGTATGATAGTAATTCCGGCATCCTTCTTGCAGCACCATGAACAACACCAATACAATAATGAGAAAAAGGAACGCGGATTCCCCGCTTTCTTCGTTCCGTAAAAAGTGTTTTGAAATATTTTCGAGTCAGCATATTCAGCTCATCTGTGGTAAGGTGAGCCAACTCGTCAGCGTAAGAATGCAGAGCATAACCGCCCCCATTTGCATGGTGTTCAATGTATATCATGTCGTACAAATGCCGTCTTGGAGTACGAGGTATTTTGAGATTACTGGAAAGTTGAATAATGTGTTCCAATGGATCATGACGATTAGGAGACATCACGGGACATGTGTTATTGCCATTCTCTACATTATCCAGTGCCAAATAAGAACGTTTCTTGCAATGCAACTTTCCTTTACATTTGACATCAGATTCCTGGTGAGAGTCTGACCTCTGAGACATCATCCTCACATGATGTAAGGTTCGCGCTGCATCGTATTTCCAAGCAACCCGCGTCAAAATGATCCAATGTCCAGTATCTCCTACAGTAGCTAGTTATGACCACTTAATCCTTCCGCACTCGCTTGCATTTTTTATGTATGATACTAATCATCCGAATTCTTCAAACTGCATGTCTATGGAATTTTGTGTCTTCCTGTCCAGTTATTTTCCTCCAGCTTTTCTCCTGCGTTTCGGGTAGAAGTCGTTTCATGTCTTCAAAAGTGACTGTAGTACTGATTTTTCTGATATCTTCGCTCCTCAAAGTGCTGGCTGTCATCGAATATATAGGAAGAAGTCAAAAGGTCCGGGTGAAACCATTTTTTAGTACTGTGCTGATTTTCCGACACGGTAATCAGCAAGTGAAACTCGTCGCCGCCCCAAGTGTTAGCAGCTTCTTCGACGAGTATACCAAATGAAAAGTTAGCTCTTCGGGGAGTTTACTACTTTAAGGATTGCCACAGGCAGACCCCCAATCATCCCCTGCACTAAAGCCTGAAGACAGTCACTTCGAATGAAGGGCGGTTCTCAAGGGGGTTGTCGGAAATCGATTGGTCACGTATTACTTAAGATTCATATTTTTAGTGTGGGGATAAACGTTTAGGAGCCTATATCACTTCTTCTCCGGGAGATTTATGATCACATCTGCTTTCCAGTCCTCTTGCGAACGAGTCAGCTGATAAGACGGACACCACTTTTCTTGAGTGTTGGTTCCAAGAGTTGATTACTCGATGTGAAAACCAGTACTGCATGGGAATGGTGTTTGCCCACAACTTCTGTACCTTCACAATATGTCCCCTCAAACTTCGTTATCTAACGAGAGGGAAAAAAGTAGTCCACTTCCAGACTCATTTCTTAAAGTATTCTACAGTATGATTAGATATCCTCCGTCTGCTAAATAATAAAGAGAAACCTTTCAGCGCATGGAGGGGTTTTCCATGGTTAGGGCCAGTAACCGCAATGGTGGCATGACTGACGGTTAACCAAACCCTTTTCAGAAGGCGTGAGCCACCTTTAGGATGGGGATTCACACCATGTGTGCAGTTTTCTAGCTTGGATCTAAGGATGGATATAAAGTGATCGATATATCACGACTTATGTTAGCAAACGTTCTGTTTAATGTTCATGGTGTCCCATGACTCCGAGCTATGAAAATCGACGGCCCAGTATGATCTTCGAATTGTGATTAACGGTGACCCAAGGGTGACTGTGAGTCAAAGATTAGGGTCGAGCAGTCCTACCAATGTCGTAGGTGTGTCCATCCGCATGCGAAGTGCATACACATACACTCACCCCAACTGACAGAGACCAGCCACTTCCTTCCTCGGGTTAACAGGTTGCTTACGGCTATCTGAAGTAAATATACATCTTTGTCATCCTAAATATTTCGTTCAAAGAGTAGAACTACGGAGGGTTTCTTGACATTCGGCAGTCCATATTTATAGGATAATCTTCAGAAGACCCAGAACTGCCACTCGTGACACTCAACTTTCCACCGACCTCCAACACTAAACTTGAGAATTGATCACTACTTTGTCTTTTGCCAAAGAAAGCCCCGCTGTTGCATGAAAGTTGTTTGTTGGTGATCCTGAAAATTTCCAGTTTCATGAGAGGTCTAGAATGACGTGCCTGGTTGAATGCCATAGCGATGTCTACAATTTTTCTTTTTCCCACCAGCCATGGATCAAAATGTATGATTCCAACTGATATTCACGAGGATTTTTCCGTTTGACGTCGATAATGCTACTATCCAATTCCAGTTCATCAAGGGTTCCTTGATATAGACTTCAACAAAATTACCTGACGTAGTCCCTGCTCGGTTCTTATTATCTTGAATTAACTGGCTAGCCTCTATTTCTTCAAAACAGCGTCTTCTTGTATTTGGGTTTCCCTGTAATAAGCAGCGTACCTACATATAGCACTGGAGTTGATGTTTGTCCACTCGCAGGACATTCGTAGACTTGAGGGAGTTGTGAGATTTCTGGAAGACCGGTGAAGACTTCGCAACACGTATCCGCGTGTGTACTTGAAAGTAGGAACGACAGTGGTGAAAAAGATGACGGGCTAAGATTTACACTAAAGGAGACCACACGAGTGAGACTAAACACCGCTTTTGAGGATGCACGTGCGATATATAGGCCAAGCGTGGGATGAGAGGGCGTTTTATAAAAGTGAAAAACATGGGCAGAAGATAGGTTAAATGTGGCAAGTTCCCGGCATTCAGTGCCTCCAAAATTTACTTGCATCCAGTTTCTTCCCCTCAGGGAATATCCGAATCAGTATACTTCCACACAAATGCTGTCTCACGAACCCCAAGTCCGTCATTTGACTGATTTTCCTAATTTCCTCTAATCCCACATATATACGACGTGAACAAATCCTGAGTGTAACACTTACCCCACCTTTTCAAAGAACTTTGTCTAATTTGCCTTCCAGGTAACACAATTCGTTCAAAATCATATCGGAACTTCTTTCCTCAACGCAACAATTCCAAATTCAACCTTAATTAGAAGGATTCTGTGTTTAAAATAAAACACATAGATAGAAAAAGAACAACGACAACAGGGGGGTAAGATGGTGGAATGCGATTTCCCGGACCCTCACCAGCTGCTTATGACTCAGAATATTTCAGTATCGTTTCACAAAATAATTCGAACATACTTTTTTCAGTTGAGCGATGTCACTTAACGGGAGGCGACATGGGCCAGTAAGGGGTACAAAACTCGAGTTAATAAGACGTGCTATGAAGTTTCATTTTCTATTCAATGAAGTCCTTGAGAATACACCATGAATAGCAATTATTAAATACTTTCATTCTCGGGTCATTAATTTAACATGAGAGAAGCCGGTTTACAGGCATCACCAAATCGGTAAATACAGAGAAACCTAAAAGTTTTGAGCAGTCTTGAGCGGTACAGAAGGAGGGTATTAAGCCCTATCATGATATAGTGTCTAAAAGTTATGAAAATAGCAGGAAAACACCACTTTACAGCACATACCCATCGTTCTGAGTTTAGATTATTCATACTCATAATTCTTTTTTTCATACTAAAGTGGCATCAAACGGCGCAATATTCGCTGTTCGCGTTATGAGTGGTCGCGTAATGTATTCGAAACCTTAGTGATAACAGTGATCATGTTCGCTTTCTTTCTCTTTCAGGATACAACACAGCGGACGAGTTAGGAGAGGTGGAACAGCGAGTGCGTAAACTTAACACTGACGTATAAAACTTTGTCTGGATCGAGTGCTGTGTAAGCCCGCTGAGTTTAAGCTGTGTCCCTAATGAAGAAGATACCGCGTAATTCCCATTCTTCTTCGGCCTGCCCGTGTCCGCTGTGAGTCTGAATGCCTGCAACAATTAAGAGTCATTACAGTCGGCATGGTTGACCCGTCTTCGAAACCCGATATTTCGTCAGACAGACGTCGACTTTAACAGCGATTCCTTTGCTCGTAGCTTTACTGATCAGTACATTGACTGTTAATTGCCTTCGATGAGATGGACTTATGGCAGACAAGGCACCAGAGAAATCTATTGCATAGCATCATTATGGATGTGTTGCCGTTAGGTAAAGTGATCTCTCAGACTTCGTTGACTACCCAGGTTTCCGCTGCATTTATGACGGACTAGAAATCAGAGGTCAGTTATTGTGCTTGAGGTATCGCATGCGGTAGCATTTAGGGTACTGGTAGGCGAGTGAGTTGACTGTGAAGCTGTTCAAGAAACAGGAAATCGGGGCAAGCCAGTTAAAGAGTTCTAACATTTCTTACAATATCGCGTACGAAGTGGGCCTTTCAGTAAGTTGATACTTTTTGATGAAATTAATGCTTGCGATTTTCTCATCAGGTTGACACTGAAAAGAGGGGAGAAAAGAAAGCGCAGGGGGAAACTGGACAATGAAATACCACGCAAGACAAACTGGGAGGAGAGAAGTTCTTGTCTCTTTAGAGTCATTCGAACCACGTGTAAACTTTAGTTTATGCGTACAAGAATAACTCTTCATTTTAATCCTACATGAAGTTCACGCGAGTTATTAGATAGGTAGTTTTTGTTGGTAAACTTATGGGAAACACTCCCTATGTATTTGTACTGCACATTCCGACCAGATGCACTAGTAAAGAAACACCCTGTATGAGTCCATTGAGGTAGAAGGTACTTGAGATTTATGATAGCTTTACTCTATATGTTTAGAGGTCCCAGTATGTTTTCATTAGCCCAGAAAGTATAGATAGTGCCTAGGCGAGTGATAGATTGATCACCAGTTAGGAGCTTATTAAGTGAAGAGCGAAAGATGGATAATGAGCCTGCGGTACGTGTTTCCCCAGGAAATCTATTCCAAATGTGAGAGACCTTATTGAGGAAGAAGTTTCCTTGCACACTTGTCTTACAACACCCGGTTTTAGTTGATAAGTTGCGATTGCGTATATTGTAAGTAGATGTCGCAACTATTTCAGTTTACGGGCCAAATGAGTGCATTTGCTTGCGAAGTAATTTATAGTAAAATATAAGATTCATTTTAAGTCGCCACTTCCAGAGAGGTTCCATTCCTAGCATGTTGCAACTGGAGATGTAGTCTAGGCTGCGGTCAACTCCGAGTGTTCTAAGTGTAAAATGGCGTTGTACTCCTTCAACTTTTCCCTCTTCGCTTGTACGAAGGCCACTTAGGATGAACGAGCAGTACCCTAAGATTGGTCGGTCTGTAGAATAGGACCCTTGATTCACTGCTATAAAAGTTACGGAAGGTGCATCCGGGGCGTCTACGTGACTTAGATGTGATATAAGCCATCTGCTCAGAGAATGTTAAGTCACTGGAGTATCTAAGACCAAGATCTAGCACTGAAGAGCATCCCGGTAGCTTTTTCCACATACTTCGAAAGACACTTCTAGGTTATCGCTGCCTATGCTGAGCCAACCACATTTATCAATGTTGAACTCCAGATGGGACTCGTCACACCATTTAGCAACTTCACCTAATTCTTGTCGAGCAGTAGATAGCGTATTAACTAGTTCATGGGTGTGACATGA